ATCACTTCGACCCAGAACGTGAAAGCCAAACGAGAAGGCATTGAAAACTGATGGGTGCTGTTCTTCAAGCTGTCTCATCTTCTAAAGGTAGATGTAGACCGACTTGGTGTACTGTGAGTGCCCGGCAGCAGCAAGGACGGGGAGCATGTCTTGCAACGATTGTAAATGCAACCACCAGTCACATGAACCTTCGGCTTTTAAGGAAGCGTTTCAAGAAGACAATCATATCCATGTACTGAAGCCAGAGACGAAAAAAACAACAGAAAAAACCTCCCCCCGAAAAAAAGGAAAAATATAGCTTAAAAAAACAACAACAAAAAACACAACAAAAAACATACCGCTAAAAAAAAGGGGGAGACACACAGGTTTGAACCCTGGTTTAAAAGTTTTACATCTAGTCAAAAAAAGTCTGACGTCTTTACCACTAGGCTAGAACGCCACACGTCAATTCATGTCATGTTAACATTTATATGCAGTAGGCCTACATAGATCTATGCACTTGATAAAATTGAACGTTCTTTCATTCAACTTCTGTCAGTTTACACACCGAGTTTGTTTGTTTGCTTGTTTAGTCTACTGGGTAGAAGAGCTCTAATGCAACAATTATAGATCATAGATAAAGTAATTTACTTATTTGTATCAGTTTCCTTTCACATTTCTTCCAAAATAGAATTGTTTTCAAATGGTGCGGCCATCGTGATCATTCCGCGGACGATGTGTGCACACTGCAAATCGAGCCTCCGCTAGAGGAAACAGTTCACGTTTTCAATGAAAATTTAAAAACTTTCCCATTCGTACATTAATGTACATTTTGAGTATTTTAGATACGATGATTTTCTCTATCAACTGCATTTGATTGTGTTTCTTTTGCTTTTATTTCCTTGCGATTTCTCAAATCTGCCAGACTAACTACCAGAGAGGCTACTATACCTACAGTCTCAAACCTACAGCCCACGGACCAGCTCTGTCCCGACTGGTCTGTTCGTCTGGTCTGCCGCTATGCGATCATGCAGGGGGAGGGGCAAACTTGGAAGATGTGTTTGTAGCACGCTCGGGGCTTCGTTACCAAAATAGTTTAATCATTTTATTGAACTCTACCGTGTAATTGAAACGTGCAGTTACAGATTTTAAAACTTCTAGCTAATGCATCACAGTCTTGTTGGGTTAATGTGCAAAATCTTTCATTTTAAACATGTTACACTGCAAACGAGTATTACCTCAGTATTTGAAATAACTTTTATATGTGAGCAATTGTGTTCAAAAAGGAAGTATCTGAAATCAATTCATCGACCATGGCTGGCTGATGAACATTTAAAAGCAATTCTCTTCGTTGATTACAACCATTAATTAGCAGTTACTGATGAGGTGTTTAAATCTAGACG